CGAAACGTCAGGAAAATAAAACTCTTGTTCCAGTGGTCGCATTTTCTTCTTCTGATGTCAAGAATGCCAATCTAGTATACGCTGAAATAAAAAAAAACATAGGAGCAATCAGCGGTAACATTTAAATGCTATAGCAACGGATAAACGTACACTGCGAGAGGGTTTTCTTCTGCACACCTGTCGTTTTAGAACACCAGGCAACGTCAGACTCAGGGAACGACAACGCATCTTTTGGAGTGACGCACACTTCGACCACGACCCTGTAGGTAGTAGCATGATCCAGTTCTGAGAGGAGGCAGGCATGGGGCGAATCATTTGTAGAACAGGAGGTAACGTATTTTTCCTGCAGGATTGCAATAGCCCTTGACGATTTTAGTTTACCGAGCGCCAGGTCGGGGATGGTCCAGGAAACTTGCAGTTCTTTCGTTCTCACAGCACGCACGGTTACCTCGTTTGCCATCTCTGGAGCTGCAAGTCACAGAAGTCGGAATCTTAAATAAATTTTCAGTAATTTTTGCAGATTGCCGTCAACGTACGAAATTACTCTATACACACTAGTCAATAAATTAAAATCGCAGGAATGAGTGTTCGAATGGGAGCAAAGCCAATGGAGTACATCTCCCTGATGAGCACAAGCTTGTGGACGGTAATTTATTCTTCAGGCGCAGGTGATTGGTGCACCGGAACCCCGACACAAGTGTGCCATCATCCCGGTTTGGATCTCATTCAGTGGAACTGCCACAGTGGTCATAATAAGGACTGTTTGACTGTTCTTTCCGCTCTGTGCCGTGATAATTCGAACGTGTGATTTTGGCCTTATAAATGGAAATATACTGCAGGGGCCACGCATAAACTGCCCCCCCTCAGACACCACATCATTATCATATGAACTGAATGCATAGTTCAAATCACACAGTTAAAGAACAGCCTGGGGCAAATGGAGCGAAGAACAAATGTCGCACATACATGAGGGGTACCCAATATTTGCTTTTGATGTATGGTATTGGACTTTTTAATGGCTGGTGCATATGTTGGTGTGTAGGTGTGAGATATTTGGCCTAGGCTGCCGTGGCTTACCACAGGTTTGAATGCAGGCACATGCGAAGAAGGGCAGGAGTTCTTCGGAAAGATGAAAATGTGTTTGTGAATTTTCGAGCACGTGACACGTGCTCTTCAGCTGAGGCACATGTGACCAAATAGGCCCATGGGGAGACTGAATGATTTTTGGCAGCGTCAGTAGACGATGCGGTGCGTTTACGTCGGTGCTCGTGACACGTAGTCGTTAAACTCCGGGCGATTGATTCGCACGGAAACAATCGGGACGTGCATGTGCGATTACAAGCTAGCGGCATAGTCGGCTGCGATGGTGCTGCGACTGGTGTTGGCCCCTGGGGTGGATAGCGAGTTGGCGCTCTTAGCGATGGAAGATATTTCGGTTTTGCAAGGTCTGTTTGGTGGGACATTATCCCGATTAGTCCCGCAGTTGTGGATATGCACGTGGTTTAAACAGTCCTTTTGGGGAGCAAACACGCTTTGGCGGATGTGGTCATTTTGCGGGGACTCCTAGCATTGGTGAGCCCTTATCGATTGACATGAATGGACGATGGGCGCAATAAAGACAGGCTGTTTCAAGTTCACATTCCCGGTGGGGAGGAGGCGGTAGTTGTGTGAGTAGTGGTTGATGAGGTGTCTGGCATTTTTCTGTCGTTGGCGGAAATGATAGATGTGATAGAATTGTTTGTCACCTTTGCCACGATGTAGTGGAGCGACTTCGTCGATTGCGTCAGTGGAGCATTTTAAGTGTGATCCCTAATGATTGCAGCGATGGTGGTCGCTGTGGGAAATATTACCGAGTTGAAAAATAGTGCGTTGCAGTGTATGTGTGTCGTAGCCTATTTTTGGATCAGGAGTCTCCACTGGAATCCAAACTGGTAGTTGCAAGACGGAGAAAAGCCGAAACCTCGACCGGCTTAAGCCATTGGTCCGCAGGGGGTGAGTTGGATGCCTGGCTGGGAACTGCAGGCGAACAG